CAAGTGGTTGTATCGTGAAAGCGGAATTTGTCATACTATATTTAAACTAGTGACATTAAACTGCATCTCCAAAATCCTTATTTATAACATAAAAAATTGAGGAATTTACCGAAATATAACTCTCAGTCCAAACGTGGACACCAGAAAAAAATAGTAATTACTAAAGCAATAACAAAAAGGGGAAAAACCTCATTGAAAATATAATGAATTTTATATAACTAAACCTATAATAATTTTTTTTTAATACTTGTACAAGATATTCAGATCCATGTCTGTTTAACGGTCCATAGACCTAACTAATCCCTGCTTGCCTTTGGAAGCAAATGGACTGACTCGGGGGAGTTAGCAACTGACTCGGGGGAGTTTGCGTTGCGAAGGATCGGACCCATGACTTTAGCCATGATGATCAATCCCGTAAATGCTCTTTGTTACTGATTTAATAATTTAAAAATGATTGCTTTGACAAATTACTCCATATCATATTTGTTTGAGAATTTAACAAGATAATGCATTTTAAGGAATATCTTAAACAATTCAAATTGTTGTAACTTAAAATTTAAGTACAAATCAGTTATTCAAAAAATAATATGAAGAAAAATTAATAAGAATACTTGCTATTTGGAATTTAGGTTAACAATATATTAACAAATAACAATATTTTTATTTTTATTTAATTTATTATTATAAAAAATAGAATAAATTTTATGAATAAGAAAAGTTTTCAATTCAATATTTTTAAAAAATATAAATCAAAAAGATTAATTATCCTATCTAAAAAAATATTGTAAATAAGCTAACTATACATTGTAAATATTCTTTTTTCTCTTTAATATTGTAAATAAGCTAACTATACATTTTCAAAATAAATATAAAAAATAATTTTAATACTATCAATATTAAAATGATATGACTTTGTAATTTTAAACTCTCACTTAACATACTATTATGTACATGGACTTTATTTTATATATTTTTATTTTTTTACTTTAATTATTATTTTTAAATTCTCCTTCACTTGATTTTTAACATATAACGTACTTCAAAAACTATAAAATGTGATTAAAATTATTAAAATAAATAAATTTCTCAAATAATAGTAGTTGATTTTACCAAAGATTTACCAAGTCATTATTACTGCATCCTAATGGGAAGTCAACGCTGGTCTTCATTTCTCACCCTTTAAATGGTCCAATTATGGATAATGGTCCCGTGGCATAAAATGTCACTAAAATATATATATATTTCATTTTTTACTGTATACAATGATTATTATTATACACTTTACACTATCGGTAGCAGTTACAATAGTTTTAATTTTATCAAGCGCGACGTAACCATTGAAAGAACGTTACAACCATAAAGAAAAGAATTTAAATCTTAGAGCCTAACAGGATATCTCCCTTGCCACTAGGACAAGAAATCATTTGCAAATGGCACTAATATTTAAGAATAATTGAAGTTTTGTTAATAATTCTCCGTATGGAGCTTGTGAAAGGTGCAATACTCTCATAACAATAATTCTATAAATTTTATAATAATATAATGTGTTATGTAATTTATTTTTATATTTTTATATTTAATTTATAATATTTAATTATAGCAGACAATAAGACCATGCATTGGTACATGTAACTAGCAGTGAGGTGTGGGATAAGCCAAGGTCCCATAACTGCTTAAATTTCATTTTTCATAAATATTTTTCTATAATTTACATCTTGAAATAAAATAATTCTCTTGATTCTTGAATTTTTTTTTAATTTTTTTTTCACCAGTTCACAGGAGAGAAGCTATAGCAAGTGCAGTAGGATATGAGATCAATTGATCCTACTCAAGTTAAAAATATATATTTATAATATAAGTTTAAATTGATGAAAAAATTTAAAAATATATTTTATGTGAAAAGTTTTAGAGTTTTTAATCCAATTAACCTTACTAAAATCAAATTAAATAAACGGTGTAACTGAAGAATGTTTCTAACTCTGCTAGTTGTAACCATTACTTATAACTTCTTAAAAAGGCTATTTATAAATGGGGTTTTTGCGAATAATAATTTTCAATAACATAGTAAATTAAAAAATTATTATCAATTTAGGGTGTTTCCACTTACTACTTAAAAGTACAATTAAAATAAAAGTTAATCTTGAAATTGAAAAGCAAAACACAACAAATTAATAATAAAAAGTTTAAAAATGTTAATTAAGAAATTATACAATTTAAAATATTTATGGGTTTGTTCAACTAGTAAATTCTTTTAGTAATATTTTATAGCAATAATATTTTCTAAAATTTTCTTATAGTATCAAATATTCCCATATATAGTTTAGTATATATATATATATAAGTTGAATGCTTGAAACTCTAGAAAGCGAAAAAAAAGGTCAATTATAATTAATTTTGGTATGGAAATTTGTTATGTTTAATTAGTATGCATATACGTTATGTTTTGAATTTTTAAAAAATATTTTTTAAACATAAATATACAATATTTCTTAGAAAAATTATAGATTATATAATTCTCAAATGGTGTAAAAAGCTTAAACACCTTTCCCCTTATTATAGAGAGCGACTCAAAAACTACCATCGACTTCATCACTTCCTCAACTTCAGCTAGAACGCCTCGGTTTGTCATTCAGATCAAGAATTTTCAGATCAAGAATTTAGTCTCGGGATTCAATGTTCTTTACTGCCAATTATCGTGAGGGGAACAAGCAGCTAACTTTCTTGCTCGTTTCAGTCAGATTGGTAACTTCAATTGATGATTTTTTACTACATTTGCTTCTTTGCTCAATTATTAAGGCATTATTACATTCTGACATTTGGATTCTCCATAATATAAGATAATAAATAAGGTATCTAAATAAGATAAATAAATATATATTATATATATAATATATATTAGTATAATATTAGTAAACAGAAACCTTCGAAGCTGAGACGGGTACGAAACTAAAATTGCAAGATATATAAACAGAACCTTCAAAGCTGAGACGGTACGAAACTAAAACTTTGAAGTGCTTATTTACTTATTTATTTTGAATTTTGAATTTATTATTTTATTATATAACTATTAATTATTATCATTTACCAATACAAAGTAGAAAATTTATATTTATAACGGCCTTCTATTTTTATTCTTGATAATCAATTCACCGCAGCCTTTGTCTTAAATTTGAATGAATAGTTTATGAATAGAGCAGATAGAAATGGTGTAACATAAAAGATTGGCTATAAAAATAAATAATTCCTTCATCTCCTCTCTCTCTTTCCCCCTTTGGAAGAGGAAGCCACCGGAAACCGATAACAATACGGTAAAGGAAAAAAAAATAACAAAAGCTTATATCATAATCTATGATTGAAATTTTCAAACACGCCATAAAATTTATAGTTGCACCAAATTTGGTGATCTTTTTGGTTTACAAAAGCTACTCAAATAATACTTTTCTTTTAATGAAAGAAATTTAGTAATAAGATCTCTTTTCTTTTTTTGTATAATTAATTATATTTGTGAATTTGTTGCTTTCTATTAATTTCTCTTAAACCTTATTCTTTTTACAAATAATGAAAGATTTTTCAAGATTATTGGTTTACTTATTATTTGATTAGTTTTAAGTTTTTATCTATTTTATTTACTATGTTTGTGTATGAATTGGACATTTGGCATGATTAAATTTTGATTGCCAATATTCTTTTTATCTTTTTATTTAGTTTTCTTCTAAAAGTGAAATTTTGATTCTCAAAGGTTATGAAAAAATGCACCCATTTTTCATCATCATTTGTCTCACTTAGTGGAATCGATGCCTTTGATATATTAATTCATATATAGTGCACTCGGATTTAGATTCAAAAAATAAATAATTAGCAAGTATTTCTTTTGCTTTATTATGGAGAACGCTAGATCTATGCTTACAAATAAATATGAAAATTGGACGATTTATTTCTCTCTCTTTTTTTATTGATTACGTAGGTGAGTATCGGAGAATACTACACGTGACCGGTTAATATTAGTTATAAGGGCAAGAACTATTTACTACCAAGTTTTAATCAAAACTACTATTATTGCATTTGGTAAATTTATCGATTCCTCTCTAAAGTGGGAACCATTAGATTATTTAACCCTTCTATTTAAAGAGTGCTTTTGTTCTCATCTGGTGTTCTGTAATATTTAACTTTTAATTTAGTATTAGTAAAGACAATATCTTTATTTTTTTTATTGAGGGTGTCTCTTCAACTTCCGTTTAAGGGTTAAAATGAGAAACCTAATCTCTTTCAAGTCAGGGAGCGATTATGTTTAAAAGCCCTCTTGAAGATTCCGACTCCATGACTCGATCCTGCGATCACAAGAGTGAGATTTAATATGCTTCAACCACTAAATCAATCTATCTTGGGTATAATATCTTTATTATGTATAGTGTTTTGACGCATATAATTTTTAGGAAAAAACTTATCTAGATCGGATCTATGACCCATTTATGGACCGAACCAATAAAATTAAGGATTCTTATCGAAACGAGGGTATTTTTAACTATACGTTTGGCATAAAAAATTAGAACACTTTTTAAAAAGCTCTTAAATTCATTTGTTTGGTTCATACGTGGGCTATGGACATGGTCTACACAAGTTTTTTTCTAATCTTTATTTTTTTTTGTGCAAACCACCAGTATCCAAATCTTATTACCAGAGACCACCTAATTCAGCTTGAGACTTAATCATAGTTAAGACTCTTTCCCCCTCCCTGCAGATGTGTTTATTAGGGTTCGAACCTAAAAGCTATTTCCATATGTCCAATTTATGTTGCTAATTGAGTCACAAGGCTCAACCTGTAGTTTTCATGATCTTTATTAGTGTTTAAAATTTGAAAGGATGAATTATGAAAATATTTGATGAAACCTTACCACAAGGACAGTCTACTAATTTTACTCCATATTGCCTAACTCGTTACGCCTACTATTTTCTTTTTAACTTTTTGCCGTAACTCACTATATAAGTGTATCACCATTGCTCCTAGTGCATTCTGTATTCCTGCCTGATCCACACAAACTCATACATTATCATCAAACCTTTTTTTAGCCTCTCTTTCTCATTTCTCTCCAATACCAGCCAATCTTGACTAAGGACAGATATTAACAATGGTATCTTCCTCCCTTGTTCATGTCCTTCTTCTTTCTTTCCCTGGTCAAGGCCATGTAAACCCTTTACTTCGACTTGGCAAGCGGCTTGCCTCCAAAGGCATGCTTGTCACCTTCTCTGCACCTGAAATAATTGGAAAACAAATGAGAAAAGCTAACAACATCGTCGATTACGAGCGAGTACCCATTGGTGAAGGCTTTATTCGTTTTGAGTTTTTTGAAGATGGTTTGGCTGAAGATGACCCTAAACGCAAAGATCTTGACCAATACCTATCTCAACTCGAAACTATTGGAGTAAAAGTAATTCCTGAAATTATTACTAAAAACGCAGAGCAAGGCCAATCAATCTCTTGTCTAATTAATAATCCTTTCATTCCTTGGGTTTCTGATGTAGCTGAAAGTCTTGGCCTTCCTTCTGCTATGCTTTGGGTTCAATCTTGCGCTTGTTTTTCTGCTTATTACCATTACCATCATAATCTTGTTCCTTTCCCTGACAAACAAAACCCAGAAATCGATGTTCAGTTACCTTGTATGCCTTTGTTAAAGTACGATGAAATTCCTAGCTTCTTGCATCCATCTTCTCCTTATCCTTTCTTGGCAAGAGCTATATTAGGTCAGTTCAAGAATCTTGATAAACCATTTTGCATTTTAATGGAGACATTTCAAGAATTAGAGGGCGAGCTAATCCAATACATGTCAAAGCTTTGTCCTATTATTCCTGTTGGTCCTTTATATAAAGATCCAAACTCCAAAACAACAATCCAAGGTGATTTCTGGAAGGCAGAAGATTGTATTGAATGGCTTGATAAAAAACAACAGTCATCAGTAGTTTATATTTCTTTTGGTAGTGTTGTTTATTTAAAGCAAGATCAATGGGAAGAAATTGCTTATGGTTTGTTAAATTCTGGTGTTAATTTCATATGGGTGATAAGAGAGCCACCTAAAGATCATAATATGGACCCAATTGTTATTCCTGATGGGTTTTTGGAAAAAGTAGGAAATAAAGGGAAATTAGTACAGTGGTGTCCACAAGAGAGAGTTCTAGTTCATCCTTCCGTTGCTTGTTTTGTTACTCACTGTGGTTGGAATTCTACAATGGAGGCTCTTTCTTCTGGTACACCGCTGGTGGCTTTTCCTCAATGGGGTGATCAAGTGACTAATGCTAAATACTTAGTTGATGTTTTTAAGGTTGGTGTTAGAATGTCTCGTGGAGATGCTGCAAACAAGTTTATTACAAGGGAGGAAGTGGAAAAATGCTTGCTCGAGGCTATGCAAGGACCTAAGGCGGTAGAAATAAAGCAGAATGCGTTGAAATGGAAGGAGGCGGCGGAGGCGGCAGTGGCTAACGGTGGTTCTTCTGATAAGAATATTCAAGCTTTTGTGGAGGAAGTAAGGAGGGTAAGTGTTGCGGCCTCTAGCCAATCTGATAATTCGAATCCAAAAGAGTCTGTAGCAGCAGAAAATCTAACAGTAGCATAGTCAAGTAGGTACAGAACTGTAATAGAATACAGCGTAATTAAAAGCTCATTAAATAAACTCTAATAATTGTATAATATTAAAGAAAAATATTTATTTTATATCTAATAATGATAATTAGCATAAATAAAAGTTAGTTTTGTTTAAAAGAAAGATAAAATAATAATAATAAAAATTTCATTACTAAATAATTATTATCTAAATGAATTGTAACTGTAGTATTAAGATTTAAGCTTATTATCATATACACTAGGACAAAGCAAAATTAGAAACAAACTAAAAACAAATTTATTTATCGTTGATATATTTTGTTTTGTTTTTTCACTTCTCATTTATCTATATAAGAAGCGAAAAATTTCGATTTAAGTTTTTACAGTTACTATCATTTTTATTAATTTATTAAATGAAAAAAATACTCTTTTATATGGCCTACAACATTATTTCGATTTATCGAATTTTTTTATAAAAAATAAATTATATAATGTTTTTGTCTTCTTAGTTCAGAAATTTGTCCATTGTAATTTATGTATTGAAATTATATAATGGACACTACTTACTACCCCGTCAAATAGAAGATAAGGCTGCAAATAGATTACCTAAAAAACATAAATTTACGATTGGACCTATTTTCTGATTGTTTTTTAAAAAATAAAAAATCAATGGCTGATCGAACAGATCCGATTGTTGATATCTGATTTATGGTTTTTGCCTCCCTCAAAACTCGACAGTAGAATAATTTATTTCTTTATTTCACAACGATGATTTGTTGTATTTAATTATTTTCTTTTTTTTAAAATATTTAATTAATAAGCAAAAGTTATATTCTTATTAAATAAAAGGAATAAAATTTCTTCCAAAATTAAATAATTTTTTGAAAATAAAAAATAATATCTTTCACTGACACTGTCCATTCTTTAAAGTGGCATATTCTGCTTTCTTCCTCCACTCGTGTTCGCCATCATTCATGACTGTGTCTGTGCACTCATGGCCCATTTGAAGAGAAACGCTTAAGGCTAGACTTGTTGCAAACATGTGTTTGAATATTTGTTGATTTATAAATAAATTTTGACGTTTTCTGTAAGCAAAATACAACTCTCCTTTTACTTCTTTTTCTTTGTGTTTTTTTTGAAACAAACAAAATAAGAAACGTTTAGACTGGTACAAGTTCTGCTGTTTTTCTTTTTCATGTTTGTATATTAGCAGAATAGAATTTGTGGTATTTGCAATTTCTCTTTTTATTAATTTTTTTTGTCTTCAGCTAATAAATGATAGATAATAAAAATAAATAAATAAGTGTTTTGTTTCTTCGAAAGGGATCAGTTAGTAAATAAAATTGTAATATATACACACCTTTCAGTATATAAATTGACATAAATTATTAAAAAAAAAAATTGTAGTGCTATCTCAACTTTTAACCTTTGCTTGGACGCAAAGTATTTATTTTTTTATAGGAAAATAATTATAAAAAATATATAGAGAAACATATTTTTCTTTATTTGAAAAAGAGGTGAAAAATATTAAAGAAAATAATATTTCACTTTATTTTCCACCCAAGCCCATATGTTATGAATCTATTAATTTGGAGAACAAATAAATTGAGAAATTGATATTTTCGCTCATTTTTATTAAATTACATAAATAATCCAAATTAATTAAAAAACTTTAACACTTTTTTGACACTTCATTGTTTAAATGAAGATATAATTGTTAATTTTTAATAATAATATTTTCTTTCCTCTAAAATTTTACCCTTTCCAAACACAAGAGTGGAAAATGATTACGGACAGAAAATTGACAATTCCTTATTATTTTCTTTCCTCCAATATTTTTCTCCCTCTCATTTTCAAACAAAGGGTTACATTAACTAATTAAATCTTTCATTTATTAACATTATAATAACTATTTACTTTACTCCTCCCAAAATATAAGTCATTAAAGTAAGGAAACAATTAATTCCCTTCAATTATAATAAAATTAAGGTAATTCGGTAATTATTTTTTATCTTAAAAGCAAGAGCAATTTGTAAAGATAATTATTTTGCTAATATAACGGTAAAATTAGAAAAAAAATTATTTGTCGCTCCTTAAAATACTCAAGACGTCTTATATTTTTTGACAAAACAATCACCCAAAATGACCCTATATTTTGAATGAAGAGAGTATTAAACACTTCAATTTATCAAATTTCTCATATTTTAATAGATTTTATATTATTTTCAATTACTTAATAATATTTGATGTATTTTTTAAAAATAGATTATCAAACAACGATTTCATATTTTTAAAAATCTAATAATTATTCAGTAAATATAATTTGTTAAATTGAAATGTTTAATATCTGTAATTTTATAACTTCAAATATTCAATATGTACACTTTTACTAGCAAAACGCTTAATAGATAAATGTGTGGTTGAGAACTTTACTAGATTTTTCTTATAAAGTTTAGATGTCTACGCATCCCCCAAGTCAAACCAAATAGAGGAAAATGTTTGATGAAACTCCAACTAATAAACATCTTTAGAAATATAATTGATATGGTCAAGTTTGAGGTTTCAGTACTCAACTTGTCGAGGAGAGTTTTTTTTTTTTTTTTTTTTTTTTTTGATTTTTCTTAGTAGAGAGTTAGATGTTATCGCATCCCCCAAGTCACCAAAATTAGAGTGAAATGTTTTTGAATGAAATCAACTAATTAAAGCATCTTTTAGAAATATAGATTGATATGGTCAAGTTGAGGTTGCAGTACTAAACTTGTCGAGGAGAGTTTTTTTTTTTTGTTTTTTTTTTTTTTTTTACAAATAGGAAAGTATTATTATTACAAACAAGAAAAAAAAAAAAAAAAAAAAAAAAAGAGGCTGTTACACCCATTGGCAACCGCTGCGGTCATGGTGCCAAACTTCCTGTGAGATGACTTTCTAAATCTAGATTTGATCTTTAACAAAAAAATATCTAGTGCATAACCTATCCTAATGTAAAAGATGTACTATATCTCGCTTGAAATAAGCAACTTCTATGAAAGGTTTCTGCTCAAACCTTTCTTCAGTGATTGCCCCAAATTGAGAAGTTCAGAACACCCTAACTAGAAATGAAAAGCAAAAATAGATCCATAAATCTGTCTTGAGAAAGAGAGCATATAAATATTGTAGGTGCATAAAGGGCAGGAAAACAAGAGAAAAAAAGAAAAATACTGAAATACTAAACCAAAGCTAACAAAGAAAAGGAAGAGACAAAAAAGGATGGTTGTGGTTGTGGCCCATTGAAGATCAATTGCGGATGGCCACCCATAATAATTTTTAAAATTATGTTTTTTTTTTTTTTTTTTAATACATGGAAAGTCCAATGGTCCAAAATAATATTGTGGTCTACACAGTAGGGGCAGCTCTCCCTTTAAATAACATTCATCAAATTGGCGATAACTTTTGTAGTGGAGAGGACTCAAATTTAAGACCTCTCACTTCTTACATCTACTACAAGAGGTAGGAAGACCAATCAAACCATACTTAATTGACAATTTTTAAAATTGTGTTTGAATTTTTAATTTGATATTTCAGAATTCTTAAATTTGTTATATAATAAAATGAGAAACATATTGAGTTAGTATTTGAAATCCACCACATTTAAGCTATTTTTGTGAATTTTATTAAAATATAATTTATAAATATTTAACTAGGCAAATATTAAGAAAATGTAAACATTCTTTTTTTTTTTACATTAAATTAAAATGTAAACATTCTTAAACTATAATTTTAACTGCTATGAGAGAACATTCATCATATCCAGGTGGGATTTAAAAAAAGAAAAGAAAAGAAAAAAAAGTTTCCCATGCAGTGGAATTTATATTATTAGTGAAGAGGAAACATGCAGAGACAATGAGATGAGATGACTTCACACGGAAATAACTTTCAAAGTATATTCCTTGTTTGATATTACGCATTTTGATTTGAGTCAGAAGATTTCCCCAACCAAAGTGTTCTAATTGGTTAGAGGACAATAGGTTGTCTTAAATTCGGTGACGTATATCTGTTATAAAAGTTTTCATTAAGTAAACGGAGAACTACCTCTGGATACATAGTTCACAATTTTCTTTTGACTCATTAGTCCTCCACTAAATTAAAAAAAAAGGAAGAAGATTTCATTAAAAAAAATTATTTTGAATGTTTCTTTTATTTTTTTAATATGGCTTTCATTTCACTTTTCAAAAAAAAAAAAAAAAAAAAAATTTCATTTCACTTTTCAAAAAAAAAAAAAAAAAAACATGGCTTTCATTTCTGGAAAAGGCCAAGAAGTATTAAAGATAAACATGGCCAAAAATAAACCTTTAACTGGGCCAGATAATGAAGTTCAAAAAAAAAAAAAAAAAAAAAAACATGGCTTTCATTTCTGGAAAAGGCAAGAAGTATTAAAGATAAACATGGCCAAAATAAATTTAACTGGGCCTAGATAATGAAGTCAGCCCAAGCAAAGAAAGCCCAAATTTTAAAAAGAGGAAAGCCTAGCAGATAACGACTGCTGCTGAAAAACATTTTTGTCGATTGTACTCTCGCCTAGGGATGGACGTAAGGCGGATGCTCTTAAAATTTACACTACTTATATTTAAACCTGTTTAAATATTTTAATATCTATATCCATTTTAAATCTTTTTAAAATTTATTTTGAAATACCCATAGTTACACAGATATAATTATTTAAAATTTTAATACCATCTCCACTCCACACCTATTTAACTAATGGTTTAGTAGATTTAGTAGCCGTTTTCTCGCTTACAAAAACCATTGTAAATGGATTTTGGATGAGTAGGATACCCATGAAAATTCTATATCTGCATTGTGCAATACCTTACCAAGTCCACCACAATTGAGGTTAGTTGAGCCTTGAAAGATGGAGATGAAAATAAAGGATGGGACTAGAAAAGGAAAAGTATGATGAAGAACAATTTTAAAATTTTAGTCATTTAATATTTTATTTAAGTAATTAATTATTTTTCGCATTTGAGGATATTAGGGTTTAGAAATTTGAGTTTGGATTTAGTTTATTTTAATTTTAACAAAATATTGAGCCGAATATGCACTTAAACTTTCACTTGAATTTTATTATATTAAATTTTTTAGATTATGTAATGGATTTTAACGG